TGTAAATATAAAATACTTTCCTACCAAGTTAAAATGCGCGAATCCAGGCAGAAACGATGCGAGATTTACACTTTATTACACCACAGATTACGGAAATAATTTTTTTGTGGAACTGTACTAAAAATAGTAGTTGTAGGTTAAAGACAGTTCAAGATCCAGAAATAGCATGGATTGAAGATACTCCCTAAGTAGATTTGGCATCTTTATGGATCAACTGAAGACAATTTTACTGTCACTTCCGTCCGGTGTAGATAGAATCGTGTTTTCTTTACAATTTGGTTTTTGTTATTTCAGTTATTTAAAACGTCGTTTTATCAAATGAAACGAACAAATAATAAACAAGTTATTGTTTATATTTTTTTTATTATTGATTAGTTATATAACTAATCAGTAAAGCACAAATCATAAAATTAGCCCTAAAATAGTAAAAACAAAATTTTGTTAACAGTAGAGCACATTGCCACCAACATGATCTAATACATGAACAACAAGCTTAAGATTTTACAATGGGATGAGAAATATACTTGTGTTGTTAATCTATGGCACAGCGTAATGGATTTACTTGAATTTAAATCATAAATAGTTTGAGGCAAGATTTGTGTATGAAGTTTGACCATAAAACAATAACAAAAACTTGCTTTATAATTTTAAAGTTCAGAACGATACCAATAAAATATTTCTTTAGAGAAGTGTTAAAGTCAAAGTACTTTAATCAGCCAGATCAACAACCATTTTGCCTTGACCAAGTCTCAACTAATAAAATTACATTTATTTTTCAATTAATTTATATTGGAAGGCGTATGTTATTACATAGTAGACCCTCCATAACAAGTCACCATTTATTAAAAAAATCATTTTTAAATCCCCTTTAGTTAGTTTGACCCCGAATCACATGTTATTGCAAACCTCGACAGGAAGTCAACCTAGATAACAAGTCTTATTAATAATGAACATGAGAGTCTTGTTATCGAGGTTCTTCTGTATTCTTATAGTAGCACAAACTAAGATTAATAGTTAATAGAAGGGGTTATCAAATAAACAGCTCTCATCATAGTAAACATTTAAAATGAAGGAGGTTGAGGATAACCGTATGTACTTTGTAAATCCTTAATAATTCGCCCTCATGGAAGCACAGGAAGGAGGTCCTCACGTATCTGCCTAACTGCCTTCAACACTTTTGTGTTTTATACATGACCTTCTAAGACATTCGCATTTCTTATTACACTTTTTTGTGTGTCGTAAAATTTCAACATTTTATAAGAAAGCATTCTGTGCTAATAATTCAAATACTGAAATAGAATGTTAAATATATTTTACTTTTCTTTGACCATGTTAACAACTGTGGAAATGCTTAACGTTTTTTGTAATTAAACAACACTAATTATAAAAGTGTAAATGTGAATTACAATTTAACAGCTGATTGCTCAGTTGAATATTTGACCAAGGTCTGAATGTAAATTGATACAAAAAATTTCATGAAAATTTATTTTAAATTGGCCATTATTTTTGTAATTGCAGCCTAATTTAAGTAGGTAGACTACTCTTTATGGTGTGGATCTAGAATCAACAAATTTAATGTATTGTAAATTAGTAGTTTTATTCAGCTTATGACTGCCTTTAGTAAACCACATAATCTTAAAAAAGGGGTATTGCATCGTTTTGCGTCAGAAATTAGTTTTGAAAACAATTAAAATGCGCGATTCGCTCACGGATCCCCCTCGTTATTCTAAATTCCCGTGGATAAGACGGATTGAACATTTTTTTGAGTATTATTGTCCTTTGAAAATTGGATTTATGTGTAGGTAGATTGACTTTGCAGCCTCCCACATTATACTCATTATGAACTCAAACCCACTAACCTCTCAGTATTGCCTGATTCTGCAGAAATTCTATTTGTAGGTCGCATCTTTATCCGTTCCAGCGACTCAATTATGCAAAATAAACAAAAAACATAAAGCACATACACTAAATTGGTATTTAAATAGTATTAGTTTAACGATTACTTAGGTTTGCTGCAATGGGGAGGGTAAAAAGGTGTTTTTGTAAAATGTTAATAGTTTAGTATGAAATGAATGCATTTTCGAAATTTGATCAAAATGTGCTCATAATCAAGCAAACTACAACATTTTACAATTTTCTCTATAAGAATAACATAAGAATTTTAAACTAAAAAGTTTTTGGAATTTTTTCCGTAGCCATTAGGCGCATAGGCCTAATAACGCTTCAATATACTAAATTATTTGTTTTTTAAGCTCTACAAAATGGTGTGAAAGAAGTTGCTAAATTTTATGTTTTTAGGGGGGAAAATGGGAAAACAAATGTTTACCGCATAAACCCCTTTTTCCATAGTCCGATCATGTTGGTTCACGAACTCGTTGGAATAAACAATAGTACTACCATGAGTACTACGGTAATAGCTTATTACCTATATGTGAAATTCACTAATACCAAATTTAAATTTGTGGAAAATGATATACAATATTATATTTAATTGCAATCTTCTGATGCCAATGCCTTGTTAAGTTTGTTTAAAATTACTGATGAAATATTTGTTGTACCGTATAGGAAATACGAAAAATCAATGGCCAGCTTAATAACACATAATAGGTAATAGGCAAACGATGCTGAATAACTACAACTACTTTAAACATAATCATCAACATGAAAATGATTCAGTCTTGCCTAGGAAGAAATGCCCCAAGGCTATTGAACTCTTTCTCAATTAAAAAGTTTCAAACAGCTTTAATACAAACAGGTGGCTTTCACAATTTCTTTTTGTTTCCTGGGGCAGTTGGCGGGAATAAAACTCAAATCAAAGAGACTTTTGCGACGATCTACTCAAATACAGAGACGACCTAGATTATTATAGATCAAGTGATATGCTATTATAGGCCTAATGACTATATCGATTTATAGAGAATACGTTCTTGGTGCCGGTTAAAATTAGGAATGACTTACAAGTGAATAAACACATGTCAGCTAAACATGGATTGATGAGTGTCTATAGATATAACATGAGAACTATTAACTTTAGTCCTTACGGGTTTCATAAGTAGGCTATATTTTCGGTAATGTGTATAAGGATGTTATTATTGTGCGTAATATATACGTAATATAAGTAATATATGCATAATACACCCTTCTTGTAACTATTGAGCGATTGAGCTACACAGTTTTAGCAAGTTGCAAATAATGTCGAGAAGAAATTAATGCAAACAAGTATTTGTTGTATTATTCCAAAAATCCTTATTGATAAAAGTTGACATTTATATAATCATGGAACGTCAACAAGATAAATACAAATTTGGAATCCTCTCAAGTTTAAGAAAATGTATTGATTAAAATAAACTAAAAATTTTGCTTGGTAGATCTGAGATAGAAATTACTTTAAAATCTTTAATTTTGATAGTTTTTTTTATATAGCTGAATGTGATAATCAAACTTTTAAAACCTAAAACACAGGAGTTTAGTGTACGACTTACTCAACTTTTCTCTGAATATCTCTATAAAACTGTTTCCACGTATGAAGTCGTTTGATTAAATTAAACATACGGTACCAAAGTAAATGTTTGATTAACAGCGAAATCACACAGGTATGGAAACGCGTAAAGGATTTTCAGAATTAGAACCTACATAAGAACTTTTATACGTCATTTCACTTAACTTGCAGAATGTTTTACAATTCAGCGTCGCATTTACTTTGGTTAAAGCATGTTGATACGTGTTGTATTGGACCGTACTAACGAGAACGTTTGATTCCGACTGACAAAGCGACACAAATATGCGACGTTGCAAATTGCCAATCAAACTGGTTGAAGGGAATACCAAAACAAACACCCAACAAAGCGCACATGTTGACTTTTAGGTGTGGTATGGTATGGTGGTATGTTGGCTGGTTGTTTGTAACATTAAGAAAGACAACAATAGCATCTGCAAAGGAATTTTTACCGTAGACCACTTAACAAGTTGTTGATCAACAGAATAGTGATCAATATTTAAATAAATAAGCTTGGTTTTTCAAATGTCTTTGCATCAGTGCTAATGCCCTTATCTTCTACTTATTTTTAATTCGGGACTGATTAACCCCGACTTTTATGATAAACTTAGGATATAGTATGAGAACATTGACTTTTATTGTTAGAATTTAACGTTTTTTTAATTCTAGCTAGAATAGAATGTTATTTCTGCTAGTTTGTTTTTATATCCATTTGAAGGGAAACACTTATAGAGCATAGAGCTTTATTGGAACCACTTTCCAGCTTCCTAGTTCATCTCGTTTGTCGTAAAACGACACACAGGATCTGTTAGCGTTGTTGGGAGCTCAACGTTCTGGTAGCACGTTATGGGAGCAGTGAGTAATTTTTTTCTTTTATGTTTATCTGTTCTAACCGTAAGTCAAAGGATTACCTACACTGTAGAATACGTGAAAGACAATAGTCTGCGCTACACACTTCAGAGTTATAGCTTGACTTGTGTTGCAGGATGGGTTGTGGGGCCCCATTGCCGGGGAGACACTGCACGCATGGCTGTTGTCTGCCCTGGTCGTACACAGCACAGTTATATATGACTTGACATGTGTTGCAGGATGGGTTGTGGGGGCCCCAGTGCCGGGGAGACACGGCGCGCATGGCTGTTGTCTGCGCTGGTCGTACATGGCACAGTTATATATAGTTAGACATGTGTTGCAGGATGGGTTGTGGGGCCCCAGTGCCGGGGAGACACTGCGCGCATGGCTGTTGTCTGCGCCAGTCTTACATGGCACAGTTATATATAGTTTGACTTGTGTTGCAGGATGGGTTGTGGGGGCCCCAGTGCCGGGGAGACACTGCGCGCATGGCTGTTGTCTGCGCTGGTCGTACATGGCACAGTTATATATAGTTTGACATGTTTTGCAGGATGGGTTGTGGGGGCCCCAGTGCCGGGGAGACACTGCACGCATGGCTGTTGTCTGTGCTGGTCGTACATGGCGCAGTTATATATAGTTTGACATGTGTTACAGGATGGGTTGTGGGGGCCCCAGTGCCGGGGAGACACTGCGCGCATGGCTGTTGTCTGCGCTGGTCGTACATGGCGCAGTTGCAGGCAATCCTGACGCCAAGCGGCTCTATGATGACCTTCTCTCCAACTACAACAAGCTAGTTAGGCCTGTGGTGAACACGACAGACGTCTTGCGCGTCTGCATCAAGCTCAAATTATCTCAGCTCATTGATGTGGTTAGTATTTTATTTTTAAAGCAGTCAGAAACATCATCAACTTTAGATACTTAAGTTTACTGACCAGCTCTAACCAAGTTTATTTTAAAGTAAACATAGTGAAACACTTACACATATACATTGATGGGGTCTATGGGGAACAAGCTATACCCTTGTGTCTCCAAAACATAGGGAAAGGTCATTAAATGGTGTCATTGATCCATCTCGTGTTAATAAGTATTGTAAGATTATGTTCACCCACTAATAAAGAAAGATAATTATACGAATCCATCCATGACCGCAAATATACCAAACCATAATAGAACATAGAGACACTGTAAATACAAGGGATAGGGATGTTCAAGTAATATGTTTAAAAATTAAAATTGAATCGACAACAACATGAACTAGTTTGAATAACTTATTCACAGGCAAAGACTTGATAATGTAGTGTTTCTTCGTTTCTAGTTGTCTGGTTTTAGAAAGGTGTTTCTTGCACAGCATTTTTATTAATTTCCTATACCATGAAAAAAACTATTAGTACCATTTAAAATAAGGGTTTGTTCCAAAGGCTTTTGTGTGATCAAATTGTAATAAAATTTGTTGAAACACACATGAAAAGTTTCAAGATCTAAACTGTCGTTCGTTTGTTGCTCTAAATTCAGAATTTATGAACCTTAAAGATATCATAGATTCATGTCTTTATTCAATTATCTATAATCACGATTTATTACGTATATTAGTTGTTAATCCAGAGCAAGTAATTGGTTGAAGGTAATCAACAAAAACTCATTAACCTCATTTCGTATTTAGGTAATTATACTATTTGTGTTTTGTGTATTTTGCATTTTTTGATTTAATTTTGTTTATTTATGGAACCCCATTACAGGTTATTGTGCACATATACGGTTTTTATAATTATAAAAATAGTAAAAATATTCAAACAGAACTATATAGTGCTAGAAATAAAGTGTATAACATCACATCTTTTACACCCTTTATCAGCTTAGAGCGTAACTTATAACATCAATTTTGTGTAAACTCTACAATATTATACATTTCTATGTATTTTAAGGTTAATTACAAAGTAGTCTTCTATTACTATTCAGTGTTTTAAACCGACAAGGTAGATTTAAACAAAATGGTAAAAATATATAAAATGTGTTTTATTGCGATCATTTTACATTACGACATAGACTAACCGACACAAGTAGACTTGTCATCCCATTGTAAATTTTGGAGCACCTTTTTCGTGTCTAGTTCATGACGGTGACACTGGGCGCTAGTGTTGACGAAATTTTGTTTCCAATATTTTAGGGTTAATTTCTTTATTTGTACTTTACTGTTTGGTTATATAACTAGGGAACAAGTTATTATTGATGATTAGATCGTATTATTTGGTTAAACAAGGTTGACTGTAATAATGGGAAACAAATTGTATACAAAACACGACCTGTACATAAACCGTACAGAACTAACAATAAAATTGTCTTCAGCTGTTCCATAAGGGTGAGAAATCTACTTAGGGAGTATGTTTTATCTATGATTACGATTAGTAAAATGCTAATTTTGTACGACGTTTCGGGATCTGATATCTGATCTCGTCCTCAGGTAATAAGAAGAAAGTCCCTAAAACATAACAAGATTAGTACATTAACCCAGCAAAGTTTGGAAAATGACAAATAAAATCAAATGCGGAACTCTAAAGAAGTAAAATATTTAAATAGACGCAAAAGCCCTTAATATAGAATAAAATCACAGCCTGTGCAGACGATTTTATTGTGTTCTTTCTAGATAATTTAACACAAAGGATTCCGTGTTTGGTAAAAATTTACTAAACAACATAAACCCACCATTGCCAAAAATTAATTTTTAAACAAAGAATAAAAGTTATTATTAATTTTGATCACTGATTTTGAGTCACTTTAGTTATCATCAGGCCAATGGAGCTCCTTAAGAATTTACATAACCGGTGTAAATGTATCGAATACGTATTTCGTTTTATTTGTATGTTAGATCCACCTCGCGCAATGCTAATTCACAAACTGTTCATACATAATTATATTCCTCACTTGTAAGAAACATTCACTGCAAAACCATTTAAAAGTCCATTCGGAAGAAATCGATTAAATTGACCAATAACACAACCAAAATTAAAACATTCTGTGTAGAGTAATTTTATTTAGAGCTAAATTATATTTTTAGCGAATTTCCCATTTGGTAATGAGATATTACCACAGGTCTAAAGTTAAGACATAGACCCGGGACCAATTAAATTTTTTGTTTTGATATTCCCACAGGCAATAAACACCATCCGTTCAAATTCAAATATGTCCGTTAATAGGATAACTTGAGCAAAAATCGTTAGATTTTAATGAAATTCTGAAGTAACATGCATATCCACATTTATTCGAATGAGTTCGTGACTCAGTATGATCAAACTGTGGGAAAAGGGTTTTACGGGGTAAAATTGGTTTTACCATTTTTTACACGTAAAAAAATAGGGCTTATAAAATATTTATGTTAAAGCGTTGTTGTACCGGTAATGGTTAGGGAAAAAGTTTTAATTTCAAATATTTAAATTTCTATCTTATTCTTATGGAGAAAAAATAAATCGTTATCATTTGCTTATTAAGGGAAACATTTTGAACAAATTTGTCAAATAGGACCTATTTAATACTAAGCTATAACATTTGAATAAAGAACACACTTTACAACCTTCCCTGTAGCAGCATACCTAAGTACTTATTTAAATTAATGTTTTTTAAATAGTAAATAAATTTGACAATATTAAGGGAATATTTAAGTAGAAATCCAGCTAGGTAAATGGAAATTTGGTTAGTCTGCAGGTTTGTGATGGAGGTATTAAATTGTTTTGGAATCATTTAAAAAGAACTGTTCTCACTAAGTGAAGGGATAATATTTTATCTTCACGGCTTTTACCAGTGTCTCAGGTAATCGAGAACCACTAAATCAAAGGCATCAAGAATCCATTGCACTGACTGAACCGAGTTTGCCAATCTGTTATTTCATACACTAGCTTTGTTCCTATAAGAGGAATATATTTTGATACAATTAACAGCTTTGCTTGACGTAATACTTATGGAAATGTACACATAGTTAATACCACACGAATACTTACGTTAGGTCAAACGAGTCTATTTAATAAATTGTTAGTGTAATCTGATTTAAAATAATGAATACAGTTTTGTATATTGGACAACTTAACTATTTTCATGGCTTATAATTAGAACCAGTATTAATATTTATGTATGTGTCTATATGTAGCCTCTACTATACTTGGTTGGGATTATCTTTACATCTTTTTAAACGCGTGTACTGGCGTAATCATGATAAAAACACTGTTTAAACATTTTGTATAAGGTTATATAATTAAAACGGTTAATGTTCAATATTGAATAAAAGAATATACATTGTGGTTGAAACCCTGGTAACCAGAAATCTTTTTTTTTCCTTTTCAGAATCTCAAGAACCAAATAATGACCACGAACCTGTGGGTTGAACAGGTAAGTTGAAGGTTTCAAGTCAAATAAGTCTGAATGTTAAATCTTTGTGTTTTACATTCTGAATAATATAGCAAGGTAATATAGCAAATATACGTCACTTTGGGAACTTTTCCCCATAAGAATAACATGGTGAGCTTTTTAGCCACCTTTTTTAAAAGTCCTGCTCACTGCCTATACATTCATATACAAATGTCGAAATGTCCTATACTACTGTCCAGCCCCATAAATATTTACATTCCCCATCCCCCATGTATATTTTCAAAAACCAACCCTTTTATTTACTGACTTGGAAATTGCCCTATGCTGGTATAGGCTATTCGTAAACACCATCTATAATTAGTCCACACTTTAGGGAATAACATAGGCCACTAAAAAAATTACGGTGGGCTTTTTGCCACTTTAAAAAATCCTGCCCTCTGCGTATACATCCCTATACAAATTTCCTATACACTGTCCAGCCCCTTACTATACCCATTTCCAATCCCCATAAATATAAATATTTCCAATCTCCATTCAGCCCCTAAATATTTTTAAAATAATTTTCAAAATCAGGCTAAAAAACCGACTCTTTTATTTACTGCCTAATAATCAGTAAATAAAAGAGTTGTACAGTCAAAAAATTAGTACAGTCAAATAAAAAAGAAATACTTGCTAACTGAGAAAGAGTCCCGACTTTCGAGAATAAAATAGGCCACTAAAAATACCACTCTTGAACATACTTGCACCCTTGCCCTTTCAATATGCACAACTAAAGGGTGAATGTCAAATTAAGAGAGAACCTACTTCGCTACTTCGTTTTGATACTGTAGTATTTAAAATTGTATATTAATACAACATTTATATATATTTCCCACCAGTTACCTGACAAAGCAGGCTTCCTTCCACTAATAATAACATGCAAAGTAGCGAATTACTGCATTTACTTTATTTTACCGAACTCATTTTACTTTGCCGCACTCCAGTATTTCGACCAAACAAAACAAAACAGTGTGCTTTTATAAGGCAGGAAATACGTGTACTCTTAAGATGATTTTGCAACACTTAAAGATACTACAACTACGACCAGCGTTTCACAGCCTTTGAGTATTGATACTATAACTTAACATTTTGTTTCGTGCTAACGTTCTACTTTTTGTTCAACGCTTGGATTCAACCTATCCTAAAACATGACTAATTATCTATACGTTTTTTTTAGTAGCTATAGGAAAAATATAATGTGTAACGCGAGCACAAAGTTCCTTTGCTGCACTCGAAAGACTTTTCACACTCGCCTCCCACAAATAATTATTTCATTTCCAATCCCAGTTTCAAGAACTTGAATAATATTAGATTACCATTGTTGTTGTAGCCTGTAGTTCATGAATAGGTACGATGTGTGTGTCATCCTATGCATTTCACTAGTTTGTGTGGCATCTTCAGAGGTCTTCTTAAATTATCTTCTTACCACTAACACTCTAGTTTAAAATCTGTTTACAAAATTATTCACACACGCGCGGTCACTAGTATCGCGGACGGTACCTGAATATGGCCAAATAGGGTCACACAAAAGTCTTACCTACTTAAGAACTACAAGCTACATCAACAAAGCTAATCTAATAGGCTATGCTATTATTAACGTAAATCTTATTTTAATCGTAACGAAGTCAGTTCGACTTCAACGTATAGTTTTGTGAGCAGTAAAACAATTCCACACTTGTTTATACTTAAAGGCAATTCAAAGTTGATAACTATTTTAACCCGTCCAACATAGCCAAGATGTCAAAGCTCACTAAATGACCTACTTTAATATAAAGGACAAAGCTTTAGACTGGCTCAAACACTATCTAACTGACAGACTTCAATTTGTTGTAGTTGAACAAATGAAGAACAACACAATATTAAAGACCAGTTCTTCCTTAAAACAGTCCACGAAAGGAGTTCCCCAGGGCTCGATACTGGGGCCCCTCGTCTTCCTGCTTTTTATTAACAGTTTCTCAGAACAACTCGCAAATCAACAAAAATGCATACAATTCGCAGAACACACAACAAACTTGATCCCCCCACATACATCCTCTCAACAAGAACACCATAGTAAATTCAACCCTGGAAAACGCAACATCAATCTGTCAATCAATAGACCTCAAGATTTAAAAAAATAAAACAACACACATAAACTTCACTCCGTCTAACAAAATTCGACAGGAAGACGACAATAACTGAAAAGATCTGGAAGTACCCACAACTAACCCCCAAAAATTCTTGGAATAATTTTAGACAAACGCCTGAATTGGCAAGAAAGAACATATTGAACTCCTATGTAAAAAATTAAATTCCGCACTACATGTCTTAAGAGTAAGAACACTGACGGACGAAGAAACGGCATTCATAGCATATTACTCAATCTATGCATCACACATTATATACGGAATAACCACATGGGGAGCAGTAACAGTAAACAACATTAACAAAATTCTCGTCTTACATAAGGAGGCATTAAGATCAATACTGATACTGGAGGACCCCTTGGAACACTGCAAGCCATATTTTCAAAGCACCATATCCTCACCATAGTCTCAACCTATATCCTCGAAACAGTTATCCTAGCAAAAAATTCCTCACCACTTCTCCGCCAAAATCAACATACTCATTTCACCAGACATAGATCCGACACAGACCTACCGCAACACCGTCTTAATAAATCCAGTAACACTCCACTACATACAGGGTCACGTTTCTTTAACCTACTTCCAGACTACCTAAAATCCTTGAACTACAACAGTAAATTTGCCCGTAAATTTAAACAGTACCTACTTGACCGACCATATTACATCATCTCTGAATTCATAGAAGAACACACCTTTCAACATCAAGGAACTTACATAGCCTATGCACAAAACCTACAACAAACAAAACAAAAATCACTCTACAGACAAGAAACTTGAAGAAGAGACGAAGAAGATGACGACTCCCCTTTCCTTGGATAGTGGCGAGGACTTCGGATGGTAAATGGTACATGGCTCTTGTAGCCAAGTCTAGGTATTTTGCCCCTTCCACTACCCTCTGCAAATTTACAGTGCTAAAGCAACAACTCTTTGTCAAGTCAAACTTTGCTGAGCCAATCGTACCTCGACTGAAATCCTCTTCCTCTTCGTTTAAGTGGTACATGATAACAGAACCTATCTCTTAAGTTGCCCTGTAAAGGACAATCTTGATTTTGTTTGGCAACCTATATAGCTTGAGTGAGATAGTCCAACAGCCGAAAGTCGTCTAGCATGGAACAAAAGTATCTTTAGACCGGCCAAGAAAATATATAATACTACACAACTTCTGATTTACATACCTGTTTCCAAGAAAATATTGCAGTAGTTACTATACTCATTTTTTATACCTTCCAATTGGCGTTCCTAAATAAATTACATAAAACATAATCATTTATTAGAATTCATTTCCTACGAACGTCAAATATTAATAAATATTGATGTTTCTTCCGGCGTTCCAGTTCACTGTAGTTTGCAACGTGTTTCGTCAACACAGTGACTTCATCAGGCATCCTCTAAGCTTCGTCCTGAATATTAAAATAAAACATTTATACACAGTAATTTACACAAAAAATACATTTGTCTCAAACTTCAGCGATTTGGAACACCAAAGGCTAAAAAAAATATAAATAACATAAATAATTATTAATAATTTTGTCATGTATGTAGTCAATGTATTATATCAGACAAATGCATGTAGAAACGTCGTTTGGATGGAAAATAAACAGTAAAAGAATAATATAAATCCAATACGAATCCGTTTATAGGCCTAATAAGAATTTGATATTTTTGTAATTTATTTATTATGGAATTCTCAACTACAAGTATTTGAATATATTCATGATTCTTTTGCGTCAGCCTCTTTTGTTACTTCAATTCTGCGTTGGTACTGATTACATTAAAATTTATAAGTCTGCAATCGTCGTCGTTGTATGTATTGACAAGAAGCTACAAAAAATCGTGCTGTATTATATAAAATGTCTAAACTAACGCAATGTAAATTTACACTTGCCAGATCTGATAATTTTGAAATTTGAAATTTGGTAGTGTTAGTTATATAGTGTGCTATATTTTTTTGTCTGAAATCCATGACTTGGGTGGATAAAAAGTCATCTACAGTATCCTTAGTTTCTTTATACGAATATCTTAACAGTTGGAAAGGTAATACCTAGACCCGCGATCGATATAGCTTTTCATTTTTATGTCCCCAGAGGGCAAAAACACGATATACATGTGCCGTGAACGCAATAATGTAAGTCATTTTTGTCCGAAATGTAACTTGAAGGCATTGTAATGAAGGTAGCAACAAACCTATACTAGTTAAAGCTAGTGTTATTTAAACTGGTAATAAATAATACAAATCGTATTTGCTTGGTCTACAGGTGGTATAAACCCGAATGAGTTCGCGAATCAGCAAGATCTGGTCATAGAAACGGGATTTTGAAGTTTTTAAAAATTGTTTTTTCTAATTTTTACCCTTAAACATAGAAATGCCCAAATTTCCTTGCAGCCATCGTGTAGCGCTTAAACAAACCACATATTTTTTTTATAATTAAGTGTTGAATAATTAAAGGCCAGGGAGAGTATTTTCTAAAGTTTTTATTTTATTTCCAATGATATTCTTATGGTGGATAGGAAAACTGACGTATTTTGCTTGTTTTAAAATATATATATTTAAATCAAATTTGGCAAATTTATTTATTTCATCCTATATTAACACTTGGTAAAAAATCTCTTATTACCTTCCCTATGGCAACAAACGTATTCTAATTAAAGCTAATGTTATTAAAACTGGGAATAAATATGTCTTTTTATAGAAATATTTTAGTAGAAAATCCGATCATACAAATTGTATTTGCTTGGTGTACAGGTTTGCTGTGGCGGGGGTAGGCCGGTGCTTTTGCAGAATAATTTTGTCTTTTTTAGATAACATAAATCTCTGGCATTTTTACTGTCCATCATCAGACTTTTGAAACAAATTTG